CTTTTTAAACAGCAACAGTTCCTACTGGACATCATCTACAAAACCAGACCTCTGTCCTCAATACAAAAATTATGATGAGATGTTCCTCTCGGTAACAGAGCTGTTCTGTTCTTCTGTTCCTGGACTTCCCCTATCGTGATCATGACTTTGGAAAAAGGGAATAAAGTCATGTGATGTAGTTTAGTCGTGGTCAGCAATGCCGTGTTCTTCTATGTGTGTTTGATATTTTTGTTATTATTATTTACAGACCCCAGGACCGTATTCTGAATTCCTTTGTGAATTTGTGGATTTCATCTCTAACCTGGTTGTTTCTTTAGATAAAGATTTAATTGTTGGAGATTTTGATAATCCAGAAGACCCTCTGAGAACAGCAGTTGTGTCCATTCTAGATTCGGTAGGGGTTAATCAGAATGTAATAGGACCCACCCATAGTGGTGGTCACACTCTTGATTTAATACTACATTTCCACAGTCTGAAGCTATCTCAGATCATTATCTCATCTCATTTAAAATGTCTTAGTCATAATACGTGCACTTTACCACGCTACCGTGTCAAACCTACATTCACGTCAGCAACTGCACATTTATCAGTAATCTCCTAGAGTTACCAACCATGATAGGATCACCGTCTGATTCCGAAGAACTTGATCAGGCAACTGAATGCTCAGAGTCAACGTTCCGCTACAGCAGCTATGCAGATGCAGAAAAATTAGCTCAAGCTTTTGTTACCTCTAGGTTGGATTATTGTAATGCCTTACTGTCTGGATGTTCCAGTAGATGCTAGAATGCAGCAGCGAGAATCCTTACTAGAACCAGAAGATATGACCACATCACCCCTATCTTATCCACACTGCATTGGTTCCCAATCAAATTTCAAATTAATAAAATACTACTATTGATCTATAAAGGACCAAAATTTCTCGCGCCTCAGTACCTGAGCGAACTTTTGGTCTTTTATGATCTGCCACGCCTACTCAGATCAAAAGGTGCAGGCTATTTGTTGGTACCTCGAATAGTGCGTGCTACAGCTGGGGGTAGAGCTTTCTCTTACAAAGCCCCACAGTTATGGAACAGCCTTCCACTTAGTGTTCGGGGCTCAGACACAGTCTCAGTGTTTAAGTCTCGGCTGAAACATATTTGTTTAGTCAAGCCTTTTGTGAATAGTTGTTTCTTAGGTACAGGGGCAGGTCTGGAGGGTTCACAGGCATAGAGTGTTGTGGTGAACTGGGA